TTCCATGGACACACACGTGGGGATGGGAGTGGAGAGAGCACCCATTCTCATTGGGAAAGGCCACCAAAACAGGGTCCTTTTGGGAGGGAATAGCGTCAGCAGACTTGACAGCAGGAGTTAACTCCTTGCTGGTCCCCAGGCAGCGCTCACCAGTTCACTGACGCGGGAACTCGTTAACAAGTCAGTTTGTGCACACTCTGACTGGGACACTTTGTCCTATCGATTAAGCAAATAATGTCTTTTTTTGAAAATACCTTTTTCTTGTTATTTCCCTGACTCTTGAGACTTACCTGAGTTTTTAAAATGACTCACAAATGACACAAAAGGATGGATTTTTGGTGTGCAGAATAGCTTTACCGCTAGCTGCAGACACTGCAATTCAACATAAAATTTGGAGATTAGTTCAACGAAACCCATCAAAATGGCATTTCCAGATACACCTTCTGCCTTTGAATTTCCAGTTCTCCCAACTACTTATTTAGAGAAAAGAAATGACTTATGAACTCCTCCATGCCTCTTGTAGGGATGTTAGGGAATATTTCCCCTTCTTACGCCGTCAGCTGACCCAGGGAACACGGATTTCTGGTGGAATTACGCAGGTCAGCCGGAGGGGTTGCACGTGCCGTCCTGCACCTTCAAATCAAACACTCCTGCGTGAAAAAAAATTGCCTAGAGACAGCTCTAATTTGTTCTAAACTACCGTGTCTTCTATCAGCAAGCAGGGAATTGTTATCTGTTGATTTCGTACAATGTCACCGAATCAGTGACCACCTGCAAGGTGTCCGTGATGATAAACGCTTGCTTTGTGTACGGAGCTATTTCTGACAACGCTTGATAGTGCACATCTATCAAACTGCCTGGAAGAGCCACCCATTAGGATCATTATCTAACACAGTCCCTTTGTGGGAGTTCAATGTCAGCCCAGCCCGGGGAAGGTACCTCACCGGGTACCCATTCTGCTCGTTATTTCTCTAGATTAACAGTTTCACATCTCCATCGTGAATTTGGGCAGAACTTTGGAGCTCTCACACCCAGAGCAAAGCACAGAGACTCCTCAGCGTCCCCCCAGCACGCTGCTGCACCCGTTTGGTGTGAGCGGGAACTCCCGGCTGGAGGGTTGGCTGGCTGAGCTCTGGGGAAGGCAGGAAGGCTTTTTCCCTTCAAGACTGTAGTCACCCAGCCCTACAAAAGCCCTGGTGAGGCACAGATGTGCTGCTGAAAGTACTGCCAGCTCTCCCTCTGCAGCTTGCTCTCTCCCAAGGAAAGCTTATTTCCAAAGGGTTCAGGTCAGGAATTCTGGTCTCGGAACATCAGCGCTCAGCAATCTCTGAGCAAACCATGGCCATTACTCCCCACACCAACCTCCTACATGCAAGCCACAGCTCTCAGCCCCGGGAGTTATTCAGCATGACTGAAATCACAGCCAGGAAAACCACTTTTTCTCATGGAACCAAAGGCAAAATGCGTGGGACTTAATTCCTCCTGCAGAGCTTCCCTTATTAATAGAATCATAGAATCGTAGAACGGTTTGGGTTGGAAGGGACCTTAAAGATCATCCAGTTCCAACTCCCCTGCCATGGGCAGGGACACCTTCCACTAGCCCAGGTTGCTCCAAGCCTCATCCAGCCTGGCCTTGGACACTCCCAGGGATGGGGCATCCACCGCTTCTCTGGGCAACCTGTCCCAGTGCTCCCACCTTCTGCGGGAAGAATTCCTTCCTGATATCCAATCTAAACCTCCCCACTTCCAATTTAAACCCGTTACCCCTTGTCCTGTCACTACAGGCCCTTGGAGGTTCGGTTTGTGGCAAGAACATATGCAAAAGCAGTATTCCGAGAAGGCACCTCGGTGTCCCCAGCCTTTCCCCTCCAGCCTGGCTCTCTTCAGGCCAGTCCCCGAGCTGTGCCCGCGGCGTCTCAGACCGGCAGCGGCTCAGATGACGGGGGCTAACGGCCGAACGGCTCTGGCCAGTGATGGCTGCAGCCCCTTCAACCCAACAGGACAGTCATTTTGCTGCGTTGCTGTTTATTTCCCATCCCAAAGTTTAAAGAGGAGATCAGCCTACAGCCAGACTAGTAAACAAATAATATACCAACAAAACCTTCCCCAAATCCACAAAAACGTCAGCCAGATCCCCTGCGTTGCCCCCACGGTCCTCAAACTGAAGAGGGAGGTCCCAGCTGCGTTACACAAAACGCAACTGCCACGTAGAGCGCAAAGGAGCCAGAAGTGATGCCAACAATTTACAGGAGCAATAAAACTGCAGAAAAGAAATGAACTGCTGCTTACCCATGGTGCAGGCAGCACGCAAAATAGATTTGGGTGATGAATCTGTTCAGCTATCAGCTGCCAGATAGCTTTAATTCACGTCAGGTGCAATTAACTCATTCTGACAATTGGCAAAGGAAGCTTGAATAATAACAGCAGCAGCAGTTGCGTGGCACCGGGAATGCCGTGCTCCAAGCAGTGCCACCTCTGCAGAGGGGGAACCTCGAGCTGTGCTGGCTCCACACTCCGCAGCGAATTCAGTGCAGACACCCCAACGGGTACAAACTGAAGCACATGTCTTGCTGTAGGCATAAACGATGCCTTAACCCCAGTAATAGCACAAATACAGCCTTCCTTCCTCCAGAAGGATCAGGAACAAATCTAGTTGGAAACAAAGGTATGGCTGGGCTGTGGGGAGAGCTGGGTAGGCAGGTTTGCAGGGACACGAGGCTGTCACCTCAGCATCAAGAAAGTCCACAGAAGCAGGCAAGCCATACCTGCATCTCCTCACCGCTCGAGACTCGTTATCTAGAGGAATAGTGCTAGTGTCTGGTACTAGTGAAAACACAAATCCCTGGATCTGCCAAATCCCAGTAACACACCTCAGCCTTAAACAGGCAGCCAGCACGGCTGACTGTAACCAGTATGGAAACACAGGGCCTTGGAGATTCTCCCAAAGCTTTTAAAAGCAGATGGGACTAACAGAAGAAATCTCTAGGCTAGCTAAGCAGTTTAGCTCTTTTTTTCCTCCTGGTAATGACACGTGTAAAGCAGAATCTTGACTTACACATTTGTACCAAAACAAGTTTTATTTACAGCTTAACTAATTGTGGTTTTTTTTTTTTTTTGAACATTAAAAGAATTTGACAGCTACAGCAAGGCAAGTCCACTTGTAGCTCAGTAGTTTACAATATTGCCACCTGCAGTTAGGACTTAGAAGCTGCCAAAGCCTGTTACATAGCAATTTCCAACTACACGTTACACACTCCAGGTTTGTGCTAGCGACACGCTTGCATTTTAAAGGAAACTCCAGTCTGAAGGCTGTTCTGCATGCTTCTTCCTTGTCACATGCTGCATCAAAGGTTTACACCAAAGCACAAGTTACCTCCGATTGCAGCTTTCCCCAGTTTGCCTTCCTGATCATGCTGCAGGCTTGGCTTTTGCCAGAATCGGGACTTTGCCCAAGCTAGACAAACTCCCAAAGTCTCAACATCCTTGGTTATAGCCCCTTCCAAGAGGCTCAAATCAAGGACAAAAAGGTATCTTTGGAAAGGACAGTGCACCAGGAAACAGGCTGAGTTAAGATGCTCTCGCGTTAGCATCCTTGCTGAAACAGGAAGGATTACCGGGTTGTCAGGTGCCCTTTGGCGTATCTGGCTTTGATCCACACAGAACAGTGCTCCAGGCACCGAAGCTAACCACGCTCTGAAGGGACTCCCTATGGTGTTTCAGCAGACAAGAGAATCATCCTCTCCCATTCTGTACGAGCTACAAAGATTCACAATGAGAATGAAACCCTGGGTTTTGAGCGAGGGGAGTCTTTCACAGGTTAAGACTGTATGCAACCTACCCGCGGAGTGGTAGCGCTTCCAGCTCTGCTTTCCCGGGCTGCTGAAAAATAAGAGGGTGGTTGTAGGAAAGCAAGACTTCTTCCCTGCCTCATGTTGTAAGTGTTAAGCCAGAGGAGTGCTCCTGCTTACGTTTTTCAATATACACACAGAAACCCTTTCCCAAGGGGCTACGTTTAAAGTTGAATTTTGATGAATCTGAAGTGGAGTAAGATTTGAGAAATCTTGCTTGTAATTTCTATAAGCAATGGGGAAAAAACCCACCCCATTAATGGAAGTTTTGTTTTGCTCAAACAGAATTTATTGGATATGGCTCTTTCTCAAAGAAATTAACTGAATCAACTCAACGTAGGTGAGAAGAAAGGACTAAGTGCTTTGACTAGTCCAAGCTTTCCTCTTCCCTGCCTATCCTCAGTTCCAGGAGTGCTACTTCTAAAGATTTTGAAGAGGGTGTAGGAAAAACAAAGTTCTCTCACATGAGAGACTCCAGGAGCTCTAAGGTTACTCTCAGTAATCCAGTTACGCAGAGGCCTAGCTGATCGATTCCGTGAAGTTAAAGCACCCGCGACCTTTTATTTCTTTAAAAATAATAAAATGCATAAAAGTTGACTATAAAAACTTCAAAGCCAGTTACAAATACGACGGCTGCTGTAAGAAACAAAAGGATTGCCGTTCACGGCAGCATCATGATCTACGAGCAGCTTTCCATTTAGTCCCAGGCACCAGCGACCTGCCTTCAGGCCTCTCAGGTACTGGGATAGTCACCACCTCTTAAGCACATCTGCAGGGACAGGACATGCCTGGAAGGAAGAGCAGAGCTCATCAGTTGCTTTCCTTGCCCAGACAGATATGAACTCGTCACGTGTGCCCACTCCTTACGTCTTCTGCAAGACACCAGCAGAGCCCTTCTGCCCAGCTCGCTGGTCAGCAAGCCCAGGATAGCAATATCTTGGGCTCAACCTTAAAGGAAATAAAGTATTTCTTTTCCTGAATTAGAAGAATACAATCTATTCTAATCCCATTAGATATTACAAGTAAAAAAATTAGTGCTTAACTTCCATTCTGTAAATTAATGGAAGGAAGACACAAATTAGAAGAACTAAAGGTAGCAGTCCTAAATGTAACATTCTGTATTTACAGAGGGATGTCGACGTTCATCGAGTTTCATCTACAGGTTTTTGCACCGCTGCAAGCTTGTGCAAGACGAACCTAGAAAGAAAGGGAAACTAATCAGTACCCTAAGAGGCACTCTCATAGCCCACAACCACGTACACCTGAAGTAGAAGATGCTTTCAGTTTTGATAACATTGCCAATGGCTCTTTTTCCAGAGGCACTGGTTTACCCAGTCTGTATTAAACTGGGTGTGATGTAAAGCTACCCCTCTCCTTCCTGTCTCAGTTCACACTGCTTCATGACTACTGACATGAGCCAAAATACAAGACAAGGGGGGAAAAAAATATCAAGTTTCTCTTACAGCTCACCAGTCCAGTGACTAATGAGAGTGACAACGCTGCCTTACACCTTCAGGTCACCACAGACAAAAACACACGGACTTACCGATAGCTTCTTCATAATTCCTTGGGCCTCTGGATTTAGATGAAGAAGGTTCTTCTTGGTCAAATCATTTGCTGTTAAACGAATGCTCTGTGCAAAAAAAACAACCAAAACAATGAATCTTAGGTTTTCTGTCTGGTCAGCTGTTGTAGCCAGAAACAGCAAAAAAATTAAATTACAAAATAGAAGTAAATAAAATCCAAGCAAACTGAGAGACTACGCACTGGCAGAGAACAACATTCCGCTCATCTCATACCTTGCATCACATTAAGACATGACTGCCAGGAGAAGCTACTTTAAATGTTACATAAACGCACAGCAAAACATCATTCCACATTCTGTTTTGACCAGGCTTGAATAAGCAGCTCCTACATCTGACCAAAAAAATCTTTTAAGGTTCTTTCTGAGCTCACTCAATCCCCTGATAAACTGCAGTGGCACACCTAACGAGACACAAGCGGGTGAACTGAAACTCCTAAGGGCCCCAGGAGGTTACAAGCTGCTCTTCAGCACGCAGACCGCAGCCTCCCGTTTACCTCTCCTCCTCCGACGGGGACGGTAATGAAGATATCTGTGCCGTCAGCAAGGGGGCTGCCGTTGGCAGAGATGGTGTAAACACGCTCGTTCACGGAGGGTGTGCGCAAACCTGGCGTCTTGAAAATTCTGAAACAAAGAGTTACAGGTGAGGAATTTCACTGTTCAAAGACTTTGACTCAAAGTCTTTCAGCTCAGGTTCAAAGAACCACTAAGGGTTGTTTTGCAAATAGAGGACGTACATAAAGCAAACAGCAATGCACTCCCCCACCTAAGGGATTAACAGAGAAATTCAGCAGAATACAAACCTGGAATCAAATTTAGGTGTGATCATGGAGGTACCTCCCCGAGCACAGAAATCAACAGCTTTACCAGTAGCTGGAGTGATAAAGTTGTTTCTGCTTGATCTGTTAAAGGGGAATAAGCAGACATTTGCTCCTAAGAACACTTTTAACACATGTACAAGCACTCTCTTATCGAAGACTTGAACGAGGTTATCACCACCGAAAACCAGAGGTTCTTACTAATCAGGGGTAAACCCCAAAGCTAGGGACAGCTGGTCTGCACTGGAGAGGAAGTTGCCCATCTTTCATTGGGCATCAGACGGTCAATTTTTTCTTCTAGCATAGTACAGCTACATCAACCAGCCTACTACACCATACCCCATTCCATTTCAGAGTTATATGAGCACTATGTGTCTTTTCCCCACCTCTGAAATCCAGTGGAAGTGATATCCCCCATTACCTTTTACTCACACGCTTCACTCTCGCTGAAGGAGCCCTTCTGCTCCGGGACACCGGCGCTTTTTTAGTGGATGCCTTCACCTGCAACACACATCACTCACCAAATCAGTTACTTCACTCCCATGTGACAGCTCCGTCCACAGCAAACAGCTGCTGCTGCACAACACGTTTGGCTCAACAGGCTCCTTTTTTATGGCAGAAGAGTCCACAAACAAACACCACGCAAGCTTCCGGGACCCTCCCCTATAACTAGAACTTTCAAGGAAGTGAGAGCTGTTTTGAAGTCCCCCTCCAAGTATCCTGACAGCTATGTTATCATAGGCATCATCTCAATTTCTACCTTGGGAATAAAGTTATCATGAAGAACAGGGCCACGATGATGCTCAGAGGGCTAGAGCACCTATGCTACAGGGACAGGCTGAGAGAATTGGGCTTGTTCAGCCGGGAGAAGAGAAGGCTCCGGGGAGACCTTATAGCACCTTCCAGTGCCTGACGGGGCTACAAGGAAGCTGGGGGGGACTTTTTACAAGGGCCTGGAGTGACAGGACAAGGGGGAATGGGTTTAAATTGAAAGTGGGGGGGGTTAGATTAGATATCAGGAAGGAATTCTTCCCAGAGAGGGTGGGGAGGCACTGGGACAGGTTGCCCAGAGAAGCTGTGGATGCCCCATCCCTGGAAGTGTCCAAGGCCAGGCTGGATGAGGCTTGGAGCAACCTGGTCTAGTGGAAGGTGTCCCTGCCCATGGCAGGGGGGTTGGAACTAGATGATCTTTAAGGTCCTTTCCAACCCAAACTATTCTGTGATTCTATAACAGCTATTTACCTTTCCAGTTCTTGAATTAACATTTTCAGCTTCTAGGTCTGGTAGACATTGGTTATCTTGTTTTGCTCTCTTTGCTAGAGGAAGCAAAGGAGCCTCTGCTTCTTCTTCAATAGCTTCGATAGCCTGTTTGGTTTTTTCCACTAGAAAGAGAAAGTGTCATCTAAGTTCAAAGTAAATAATAACTTCAAATTATTAGGTAGCAGCAGGGGCAAACAGTAAACAGCTATAAGCATTTTTGGCAACAATTTGCTTCTGAACTCCAAATTCCAGTGTAATCCCAATGGTTGACAGAACACTATTTTGAGTGCTTTAATAAAATTAAGCAGAGCTAGTAGGGATAAAAGTAGGATTATTTTCCTGGTTTTAAACACACTGAGGGATGTAAGCATGAACTGAATTATTATTCACAGTATGTAAACCATGACATGCTTCCATCTCACTGAACTCATCACGAGACTTAAACCAAACTTACCTTTCCTGATTTTTAAAGGAGTCTGCATAACTTCTGCTGTTAACTTATTTATTTCTGTTATTTCCAGATCTGCCTAAAATGGAAAAACAGCCAGGACACCGTTAGGATTATGGGCAGTATATAGCACTGGTAAGTCAAAGTTATAGAGCAAATCCCTAATTATTTTACAGCAAGAACACCTCTGTTTTCTGTTGTGCTCAAGGTTATTCTGGAGGTGACAACAACACGTGAGGTCTGCATGCCAATCAGGAGACGAATATGCCTTATTTAGCAGCTCCAAGTATGCTTCACCTACACCCTGCTCTTCAATCCATTTAGAAATGCCCTAACTTATGGAAAAGTCTGTGTGCTATCAGGGATCTGGGAGTGAAATCAAGCAGGTAAGGAAAGACCAACAGGGAGCAGCACGAGCATGTACATCCTATATTGCACACAACAAACATCTCTTATAGTTGAGTCTTACAGCAGCATTTGTAAAAGCATTTATGTAACCTCTGCTATTGCAACACTCCTACAGACTCAAGAAACCCTCCATTTCCTACAGCAGTACAGAACAGCAACAGGAAAGCTGAATATTTATTCTAGAAACCTACCGTTGCTGCCTCTTCCAACACCTTTTTGCTTCCTCCTTTAGCTAAAAAGAAAACACTTTTTAAAAAAAAAAACTCGATACATATCTGAGACAGCCTGTACAGTATACATAGACATGCTTTACTATGGCACTGCTAGGGTGCAAAAAAATCAGTGCAAACCAGTTTTCTGGGCAGCCTCAGACAAAGAGAGCAGCGTTTCTGACCAGCCCATGGTCTGCCTGAGCGTGGGATTCATAGAAATAAGTCACAGAAAAATCACAGATGGTTTGGGTGGGAAGGGACCTTAAAGCCCACCCAGCCCCACC